CAAATGTTTTGAGAATGATGAGAGCAATGAATGTACAAATGTGCTTTACACAATTGATGTATGGATGGAGTGTGGTAAGAGTTGTATGAGCCCCTAATAAAATGATTAAAAAGAAGAAGAAGAAAAAAAGAAAGAGAAACTCAAGATAGCTTAAGAAGACTGTGAGAATCCATGGAACTTTCTATTTTTCATTGCTGATAATGATAATTTTACTGGAGATTTGAGCCTATATATGTGTAGAAGATATAAGGATTCATGACAATGAAAAGATGAAAGGTGATGGAACCAGGTTCTAGAGGAAATAGGTGAGAGGGGTCAAAGGCATTGGCATGACTAATGTAAGCTCAAAAAGTACAATGGTCGTAGAGGATAAGCTACTTAATGCACAAATTCTGGGTTGAGATCCAGACATTTTAGCAGGGATGTGACCCAACTCAGGGATGCATATGACAGCCAACTAAAAAGGACGGGAAAAGAGAAGGAGAAGATAAAGACAAAACCCCCCAAAAAAACAATAACAGGGTGATGGGAAACAGGACACTAGTACACTCACAGGGATGATATTGTTTATATCTCCAGAGGATAGGGAGAAAGGGAATAGACCCCATCCCAGAGTGCCAAGCCTTAAGTGCCAATACACTGGCATGGAGCAGTGAACTGACAAGAGAGGACAATGAGGCTGGGCCCAAGCTGAGCTATGTTGACCCCTTCCCCAGAAGACAGCAATACAGAGGACAGCACTGAAGATATAGCCCAGGGAGGGAGGTGGGTCTGTCCAGACCACATGGGAGCGAACTAAGAGAGAGAGAGAGAGAGAGAGAGAGAACGAACCTCATCATGGCCCACCAAGGCCCAGGAAAACATCCCTCTCAGAACAGCCAATGCACAGGGAGGACTGTAGGGCTGGCCCCACCACACAACATTCCCTCACTGACCCATAGCACTATGGGGGACAGCACTGGAGACACTGTGCGGAAAGTATGCCCGGTCTGCCCCATGTGTAGCAGAGTGAAATGCAAAGGGAGGTCAGAGGGCAGCAAGGGGAGCAAAGTAACCAAGTCTTCGATGGATCCTGAAAATAGAATTATGACTTGCTGGACAAGGCGTGGCACCTCATCAGCCTTGATCAGAAAACCTGTATATACTCAAGTATAAGCCGACCCAAATAGCAACAGAGGCACCTAATTTTACCACAAAAACTGCACAAAAATGTGCTGAAAAACTAGGCTTATACTCGAGTATATATGGTACATAAGGGTCATGTGTTAGTCTAGGATGACTAGGGAAACAAATCCAGAGACATTCATATGTGTATAAGACAGAGCTATATGTACAAGAACAGTTGAATATTGAGAAAACATCCCAGCCCAGTCCAGATCAAGTCCATAAGTCCGATATTAACCCATATGTCTGATACCAGTTTATAAAAACCTCTTCAGACTCATGAAACATATGCAGTGATGCTGAGTGCAGGAAGATCACAGGCTAGTAGGTGGGAAGTCTTCTGGATCCAGTGGCGTTGTAAGCATCTCAGTGCTGGCAGGGGTCTCCACATGGCTTCTCTGGCTTCAGAGGTCTGGCTCCATCAGCCTCTTTCCATGTGTCTTCTCTACAGGGATGTCTCACAGGGAGTGAGCAGAGAGAGAGAGAGAGAGAGAGAGTGTATGTCTCCCACCTCCAAAGAACAAATATAGAGTTCCCAGAATCCTCAGGAGTAGGCCATGCTCACACAGAGTCCTCTGACTATATCCTGATTGACAGACTAGACTCCACCCTACACTCTTAATCCTCAAATTGACACCAGATTATGTAGCTACCACAGGTCAGAAGACAGAATTTGAACTATTGGTTTTTATTTCTTGTTTTGTTTTGCCCTATGTCTATCTATATAAGATAGGTGCGATGAACAATCCCAAGGAGAAAAGGGGATCATCAGTTCAGGGGGAACCTGGGAGAGGAGGAGCCAGGGAGCGGGAGTGGGGAGCCAACAAACTCAGGAATAAGGGAACAGCAAGAGATCTAAAATTGATAGCGAAGAGAATGTATAAATGCCTTGTGGGGCTTAATCAAGTGCAGTGTGTACGAGAGGAATTACTGAGAGTCAAATGGAGGGTGAGCATGATGGTGGGATAGGAGGAAACAGAGGAAATGGAAGAAAGAAATAGGAAGCAAAAACTATTTTTAGAGGTATAGCTATAGGCATGTATATATGTAAATGTACTCATTTATAATGAAAGGGATAGAGGCCAGTGTACATATATTTATTATGTTAAGTATTAAGATAACACATGGACTTTGGACCTTTACCCAAATCCTCCCTTAACACAAGAACACTTTGTTTTAATAACCTGGCACTGTTTGGTACTCACCTTCCCGACATTGCTGAAGACAATATGGGTGCATACAAATGTGGTGAAGAGAGCAGATGGTTCCCGGCTATCAAAAGATATAGTGTCTGGGGTCTTAAAGGCTGGAATGTAAACAAGCAGCCACCCAGCAGGGAAGCAAATAAACCCATGTGGAAGAAGCACACCAGCCTGTGTTACCATGGGGTGTCGACAGGATCAGGTATCAGTTATCAAAGGATCCAAAACAAACGACTATATTGATGAGAATGAGGGGGTTTGGAATGGAGACGCAAAGCCCATATGTGGACAATTGGATATCCCCCCACAGAAGGGTTATAAGGGATGATTCAACCGAGCTGTAGTATAGCACCAACAAAATACACATCATTCCTCTAGTTCCTGAATGATTCCCCACCCCCACTACCATGACCCAGTTCTACCTTACAAATCCGGCTAGACCGGAGGACATACATTGGTACAGATAAGAGCTTGCAACTCAGCGAATCCAGGACAGAATAAGCCCCTCCTGAACAGTAGCGGGAGTAATGATATCATGAGGGTAGAGGTATAGTTGGGGAGGGGAAATGGGGAGAAAAGGAAAACCCATAACAAGGTTGGATATATTGCCCCCCAAAAGGGAATGAATAACAGAAATGTGGATGAAGGGAAACAATGGGATGTGTTAGATACAAAATAATAATAACTATATAATGGATCAAGGATTGATGAGGGTGGGAGGGTGGGGAAAAAAGAGGAGCTTATACCAAGGGCTCAAGTAGAAAATGTTTTGGAAATGATGATGGCAACATATGTATAAATTTGCTTGATACAATTCATGTATGGAATGTTATAAGAGCTGTAAGAGCCCCCAATAAAAGTGATTAAAAAAAAAAGATGGCATCGAAGTAAGCATTGAGAAGAAAGGTAGATAATATTTTTTTAGTATTAACAGTAAGTGAATAAAGAGTAAGTAAAAGTAGTGTACTTTTGAATAGAAGGGAAAGAAATTCAAGGAAATTTCCCACTTAGGAAAGTAGGAAGGATGTCTCTTATGGTTAAGTTGGTTTAGCTAACCTGTACTGTGATCAAACGGAGAAAAAGATGTGCAGAAAAATTACCCAAACACTCCAGGATTATGGGTATTAAATATCAATTATTTATATGACTGTTGCTGTCCAAAAGAGTATACAATGTGACTTTTAAAAGTTGATGGAATAATTCAATTATTTTTTCCATTTTCCATGAAGTATTTGAAATTCACCATATCTTTAAAAACAGGGACATTTATAGGCATGTAAACTCATGTGAGGTCTAATATATATTTTTTCAATTACTCCAAGTGAAAGTTGCTTATAAATTTAGCATCTATAATCTTCAAAGGAGAAATGTGCATCTACCAGTTTACTTACTAGCTCTTTCTCTCTTTCTCTCACTCCTTGTCTACCTCTTCTTTCCTTCCTTTTTCTTTACCAATCTTCCTATTTTCAATTTATTCTTCTTACCCTTTGTAGGAAGCAGTATATCTGCTTTCCTTTTGTCTTACAAGGAAAAATAGAAACAAGACATAAATACTTGTGACAATTTGACATTTATCCATAGTATTACTGATCATCAGGAGAAAGATAGGGCTTTCTGCTCCCATAAACAGTTCTGTTTCAGAAACTCACAGTGACAGTTCTACTCTGTCTTTTAGGGTCACCATGAGTTGGCATTGACACAATGGCAGTGAGTGAGTGAGTGAGTGAGTATTCTGAATACAAGGAGGGCAGGTGGCATAGTGGATTATGGAGTGGGTTGCTAAACACAAGGCTAGCAGTTCTAACCCACTAGTCACTCCCAGAGAAAGATGAGGCTTTTTGATTTACAACCTTGGAAATCCAAGGTGGCAGTTCTACCCTGTCCTTTAGTAAGTCTATGAGCCAGAACTGACTTGATGGAAGTAGGTTTTTTTTGTTTTGTTGTGTTTTTTAACTAAATACTCAAGCATTGGACCGCTAACCACGATGTTGGTGATTCAGAACTACCAGGCACTTTGAGAGAAATATTTGTAGCCTCAGCAGCCCTGTGTGGAGTATCTGTGTGTCATAGCCTCTTCATGAGTTGGCATTATTTGGATGACAGCGAGTTTGGATTTGGGGCATGTCTCTGAATCAGCAGCACGGCAGAGGGTTTGTTGTTTTGGAGTTTATACTAAACACAAGGAGCCCTGGAGGCACAGTGAGTTAAGTATTTGGGCTGCTAACCACAAAAGAATCGGTTCAAACCCTCTAGCCACTCCTCAAGAGAAAGCTGACATGGTCAGTTTGGGTAATGATTGACAGTCTTGAAGCCTTAAGGATCAGTTCTAGTCTGTTGCACATCGGGCTCCTCTGAGTCGGGATGGACTCAGTGGCAGTGTGTTTTGTTGAAGGTACACTGACTAAAGAATTTGTGAGTTCAAATGGAGGTACAGTTCTTTATATTTCTATGTCACTGTTTTTCCTTCAAGGTTATAAGTTAGTGGAAGAGTTATAAATTACTTTGAAGATTACATATAAAACAGCTATTAACATTGCTTTAGACCAAAGCTTTCTATATAGAACTTTTATAAATTAAAGGAAAATTTTACTATATCTCAGTATATACACTTACATATTTATTTATTTATTTTAGGCTTTTAAAACCAAGGATGGCTACCTAGTGGTCGGGTCAGGAAATAATCAACAGTTTGCTACCATGTGCAAGGTAATCTATAATCATTGGGATGGGCAGATGATGTATGTGCTGACTCAATTTGTATAAAGTCAGGTAAGTTTAGTATTGCATAAGACAAAGGTTACATATTCAATTCAGCATCTCCTGAGTCGACCCCTGGAAGTTTACCATTTTCACATTGATACATTGTAAGGCTGGGTCTGAATCAGCATCCTAGTTACATTATACAAACACTTACAATGTTTCATAAAATATATTAGACATTTTTGTTTTCTTTCTGGCTGTATTTTGAAATTAAGAATCATAGTGTCTTTTGTCTTCTAAAATTTGACCTGCCTACTAGTCCAAACAAAAAGGGAAAGCAAAATCTATTTGAAATGAATGGTTAACATTGGATTATTTTTATAACTGTCTGAGGTTTCATTAGGCCAAAATCTACTACCACAGCTATTTTATTACCATTAAAAACAAGCAAACAAACAAAAATATATTAGCTGTTGTTTCATGAGTACTTTTTTGCAAAATTAATGTTTTAAGGTCTGGGTAATCAAGGCTATATCCCAAAATTCTGCTCCTTAGCAAAGCCTTTAACAAAGGCCCTGGGAGCAGTTAAAATAACTTTATGTTGAAGATTTTCTAAGTATTTATCATAGAATATACTTATGAAGATTTTATTTTGGGGATTTGGTATTTTCACTATTAATTCAGACTTTTGTTTTTTGCTTTTATTCAAGGCCTTAGGTTTCAGCTTACTTTTTCCAGTTCTGATTTCAGGAATAGAACGGATTTTTTCTAGCTTAAATAAAAGCAGCTATAAAATTTTTTTCTTGCATGCAGCCACAGTTCCCACCAATTGAGGATTTTATTTTGATTGGAAGTTTATTGTTTGTACTAAGCATATTACCATGAACTTTCAGGTTAGCGAGAGATGCCTGTGAATTCCTTAAGGGAATCTTATTTATTGTAGGCCACTTATTATGTACAAAAATCATTTATTACTATGCCTCCTTTGAATGAGAGGTTAATGATGAGAGCTAAAAACCACAGCAAAGGGGTGGGAAGCACCGTGGAGAAGGTGACAAATGGAGATGGTTCCGACTGCAGGAGGGGCTGGAACATCTAAGGCGGGAAAGAGGGGAGGTTTTATAACGGGACTCTGAGCAAGTCGAGAAAACGGGTTCAAACATTTGATCTGGGATCAAAGAATCTTTATTATGAACGGTCAGTGTTAAAATATGAAACATACGGAAGCTGTTGCCTGTGCAGTCCTTGCGTACTCGAGCTGCAGAAACGTAAAGCCAGTTCATTGCTATAAACGAGTACAGATTTTCTTCCCGGGCCATATGTTTTGGAGTTTGCTCTCTGCAGAAGAAAAAAAAAATTACTGCTTGACATATTCTTCACTGTTGTTGAAAATAGCTGAGTTCTTTTTATTTTTAATTTCGATCAATTTGAAACTTTTGAACTTCTTCATAAATATCCATAAGTACATTTTTTAAGAATAAAATTAATTTCAAAGCAGATTATATGTCATAAGTTTTTGTACTAAAGTATGACTGACTTATCATTAGGATGTGTTATTACACTGTGTTTTTTTCTCAAGGAGATCTGTTTTAAAGGAAGGTTTTAGAGAACGGCATGCTTGGCATTGGTGTTTTCTCCGTGTGTGAGTTAGGAATGATGATCCCTGTTATGAGCCATTAAGGAAATATGTAAAACTCATTGAGTGCTTCAGAGGAAAAGTTTGATGCACAGGATTATAGTGTGATTTATGTTGGTTAATAGGCATTCTGGGTGAATGTTGCAATCTTATCAACTCATTTAACCTTCATACTTATATGCAAATTGTCCCTAAAAATATTTTCACATAGAAAAGCAAAGCAAAACAAATAACCATTTCTCTCCCCTCCCATTAGATTTCTCTCTCCCCACTTCCTGTGCCTCTCCGTGCCATCGAATCGATGCCGACTCATAGCAACCCCACACAACAGGGTAGAGCTGCCCCAGTGAGTGTCTGAGACTGTACCTTTTTTTTTTTTTGAGTAGGAAGCCCACCCTTTAGGTATATAGAGTGAGTGAGAAAATCTAAGTATTTCATATTCAGATTTATCTATCACTGATGGAAATTGTCATCCAAACTGAACTTTTAGATAAGGTTGCCAGTGTTTTACTGTGAACCCATCAAAATTATTGTCAAGCCAAGTAAAGGCCATTATCAAAAAAGGGCAGCTCTAGCTCTTTGGGTGAAATGAAATAATATTGTTTATGATAAATGAACAGACTTTACTTGAGTCTCCTTTCTTTTCCAAATTGAATTTGAAGAGCTTATTGACTCATACTTATTTGGGAGTTCCCATTGGCATGGGTTGGAGTGGGAGAAGGTGTTGGGCTTATGACTCGGGGGTTAAGAAAGTCTTCCTGTATATAAAGTGAACTTTGGCTTATAACAAATCCTATTTTATGCCCCTGCGCATGATGCAGACAACTAAGAAACGTGAGCATATGTAGCCTATTTTAAACTGCTTGATGCCAACACTAATGGGCATTCCTACTTGAAGAACATAGATGTACATTTAAACATTATTTAGACTGAAAGTTTATTTTTTTATTGGAGATAGTATACATTGGTTCTAAACTACAGTTTACAAAGGAATCTTCATCAGTTATATTCTCAGGGATTTTGATTTAGCATATTTTAGATGGGGCACAGAAAACTCCCATTTCAATAAGCATTGAGTTGTTTTTGGAGCAGTAGTCTGAAGACATTGTCATATACTTCTTAAAGTAGAATATCAACTTTATCACTAGTTAGGTGACCTCTGGCAAGAAACTTAATCTCATTTAAGCATCTGTTCCATCATGAATAGAACATAGATTACAATATATAATAGTCCTAATATGTAACTTTAGGGGTTTTATAAGAGTTTGATTACAAAAGATAAGTAAAACCCTTAGCACAGTCTTGGCTCACAGTATGCATTTAATAAATGTTAGGTGTAGAGATGGAGTAAGCACACTCATACTGAACATATAATACAAGTAGGATAGAATGAACGGGATATTTATTTGAAGACTCTGAAATGACTTTGTGGTTAGCAGTTCAATGCTTGCCCAACAATGCTACCAGGATTTCTTCACTCACGCACACACTCAATCCCTGTCATTGAGTTGATGCCAACTCATAGCCACCTATAGGACAGAGTTGAACTGCTGCTGTGGGTTTCTTTAAAGGAGTAGAAAGCCCACCTTCATCCCCCTTTACCTATGGCATTATCCTGTATCTGTCTCATTAGTCTCTGGTTCTTTGGAGTTGAGCCAACAGCCCATCATATTGCTGCCAACCTTGGGGCACATCAGAGTCTGCCTTCTGACCGGCCAAGGTTGGATTCACCCCCCTCGGCATCCACAGCTATGGCCTTCCTCCTTCAACTTCCTGCTTCCTGGTATGTTAGCCCCAGAAGCTATGTGAGTCAGGAAAAATCTCCAAATTAACTTCCGACCCATAAACATGAACCAGACTGGACTTACTTGCTTCTACAACTGTGTTTTCTACTTTACTTCCCTGTTTTACATCCCTAGAGAACCTGTAAAGATTTGCATCCTCAGAAATCATATATAAGGATGTTATGAGTTGGAATTGACTCGATGGCAGTGATATTTATCTTAAAAGGTAGCTTTACCTAATATAAGCACTAAACTATAAAATACTCAGAGGAAAGTATATTCGTAATATATGACCCAAAACCATGAATAAAAAAACAAATTGGACTTTATCAAAATAAAAATTTTGTTCATCAAAGGAACTTACCAAGGAAATTAAAAGACAATCTATAAATAGAATATATTTTCAAATTCTATATCTGATTAGGATTTAATATTTAGAAACTATAAAGAGCTTTTATAACTGAACACCAAAAAATAAGCAATGCAATTTTTTAAAGGACAAAAGATTTGAATAGAATTTATTTAAAGAAAATATTCAAATGGTCAGAAAGTGCATGAAAAATGCTCAATATCATTTGTCAATAGGAAAATGTAAATCAAGACCAAACACTCAATAGAATGGTGTGTTAGGCCTGGTTGATTAGAGAAACAAATCCAGAGACACTCATATATATTTAAGAGAGAGTTTTATATCAAAGAGTGATTGTGTATTAAAGAAGTTAACAGGTTCAATGCTGGTGAGAAATGCTCTGGATATATTTGTTCAGTCAGTTCAAGTACAAGTACAAGTTACAAAGTTCTTTCAGGGCTGCTAATCAATGCCCAAAGGGCCTACTACTTCCCTGGAATCCTCAATCTAAAGGCATTTACCTCCAGCTGTAGGGGTCAACAAACCCAGCTCCCCCAGTTAAGTGCCCAGAGGCACCCTATTCCACAAACCAGCCTTGTGCCCCAAAGCATTCGACGTTACTCTCTCTGTGGGATAGGAAGTCCATCACTCTGTCTCATGCTTTGGCCCCTGGTTAGATTGCTGCTGCTACTTCTTTTCCACTCCTCAGAGGTCAAATCTGTCTTCTGGATAAAGGAGGTTTACCGCACAGGGATATTATGGTCCAAAGGACACACTTTACTTCTGGCTCTTGCTTTAGTGAAATTCCACCATCTGGCTTCTGAGAGGGCTCATTTTATATACAGTAGGATGGCAATTACAACGAATCTCTGTTACAAGCGCTTACAATTGAATTCTATCAGTATCTCCCCCACCTTCTCTTATTCTGACCCATCAGGAAAAGGTTATTTGGTGGGAGTTACAGAAACTGTTTAGAAGAGCCACATTAAATAAATAGCTGCCCTGTTACCTCAGTATTTACATTGTTCTTTTCAGTATAGAATTAGATTGCCAGGCCTTTCTTCCAAAGTACAGCTGGGTGTTCTCAAACTTCCACCCTTTCACTTAGCAACTGAATCATTTACACCATCCAGGGACTCAAGATGGCAAGGTTTTGGAGAAACATAGCGGGAAGGAGAAACAGGGGAGTAAAAAGTTGGGTAGAAGGGAGTGGACCAAGATTAGGGTGATCAGAATAGTTACTTTAAAAGATGAAATTTGAACCAACTCAATGAAAGAGACAAGGAATTTGCTATCAGGACATCTCGTGGAAGTTGTTTCATGCAGAGGAAGTGATCAGTACAAAACTCAGAGGGAGACTCATGATAGACTTGTTTCTAGAACAGCAAGAAGCCAGTGTGGCTGCAACTGAAGGAGGATAAGGGTTTTAGGAAAGGATGTCAGAGAACTGGTTGTTGTTGCTACTGGTTAGTGTGAAAGGTGTCATCCTGTTTGGAACATTTTGGACCATCACAAGCAGTGTGGCCTTTTCTCTGAGGGAACTGGAGCGCCATTAGACAACAGGAGTATGAAAATGATGCAATTTCTGTTACTGTGTCTCTGTATTTTTCAGAGTATTTTCTGCCTCCCTTCCTCTTTTCTTTCCTCTGTCATCCCTTCTACGGAACCTCCCTTTTAAAACAAGAGTCTGACTCTTTATTTTTGGGGTCAAACAGTTACTAGTCAGGCAATGTTACATTTGTTTAGCACTTAATATTTTCACATACACTCACATACATTAGTTAGTGTTATCTCAGGAACCACTCTTTTCAATCCAAGAGAATCGTATGATCACACCACTTGGAGTCCTGGAGGAATATTTTGGGTGTTGGCATAGCTGAAGACACCATAGCTGAAGTCAGAGGGCTAACTTCTTTGACCCATGCTTTACATGAACTTTCACACAGAACAGAGATCCAATAAGTCAAACACAGAGAAGGGCACACAGGATTCCCAGTTACCCTGGAGTACCAATCACTCAACCGTTTTTTATGTAGTTCTTAGATTATTGGGGGTGAGGCCAGGTTTATAATCTTAATCTGTGATTTAGTGAAGTCACTGTTCTTTCTTGAAGTGACTTATTCACTCTTTGGAAGGTAGGGGTTCTGACTCCTGGAAAAGCCTTGACACCAATTCTGAAATCAGATTGGTAATGAGGAGTTTTTAAAAAAATGGCACTGTATATAGTATCACTCTTTAACATCCAGTGGGGGAATTCTGTCTTTATTATTCCTCGAGGAAATGACTAAGTGAAATATGTCAAAAAGAAATCACACAATTGAGATGGTCTCTTTCCTCCAGAGAAACTTTTTACTTCTCTCTCCTTCATAAGATGAATGACTTGATTTTATTTAAACTGTGGGAAACAATTAAAAATCAAAACTATTCAATGCTTATGTTTAAAGCAAATACGTTAATAGATGGGAGGAAGCTTTCACTAGGCCACATGGCCTGCCCTTAGCACATAAATAGGCCTTCGGACTTTCCAGCACTGCTGCTAACACTGCTTTGATACAGTGTTTTCTCTATTTTTTTCTGTTTTTAATTTTTTACTACAGTTTGGGTGAAAGTTTACAGAGCAAATGAGTTTCCCATCCAACAATTTATACACATTTAATTTCAAGTACAGTATTGTCAAAGTGATAGAATTAATCCCACTTCTCCCTGGTTTACAGGCTTCTGTTTGTCTTTCTTGCCCCTTTCTGCCTTCTACACTTTGTTTTTAGTCAAATGAGGCCTGTTTAGCCTCATGAGTGTTATAACCAATGCCATTGAGTGGGTTCCTACTCAGCGACACTGTGGGACAGAGGAGAATTGCCTCTTAGGGTTCCTGAGAATGTATATCTCAGGAGCAGAAAGCTGCATCATTGTCTCATGGAGCTACTGGTGGGTTTGAATTGCTGACCTTGAGGTTAGCAGGCCACACATAGCCTCCCTGAGACACATAAGTATGATCTTTGTAATGTTTTTTTTTCTCCCCTCTCTCTGTTTAGGATTTTCTCCTGTGATCCTGTTCAGAGCAGTCAGCAGTGGTAGCCAGGCACCATCGAATGCTTCTGGTCTCCAGGTGGTGGTTGTTAGGTGCCATTGAGCTAGTTCCAACTAATAGTGACCCTGTGAGCAAACACTGCCTGGTCCTGTGCCATCGTCACAATTGTTGCAGCCCCTGTGTCACTCCATCCTGTTGTGGGCCTTCCTCTTTCTGCCGCCCCTCCCTTTTACCAAGTACAGTGAACCCTCGTTTATCGCGGTTAATCGGTTCTAGACCCTACCGTGATAAATGAAATTCCGCGAAGTAGGATTCCTTATTTGTAAATCAAATATTTTCGTAGTTAGAGCATAGAGGACATGAAAAAACACCCTTTAGTCACCATTACACTCGTACTACCCAATTTATTAAACGAAAAGGAAAATACAGTACAACATTTTGGATGTTACAATTATCATTTATTATATTATTTATGGCATCAAGCGTGTACAGTATGAGCCAATCAGTGGCAGTAATGACAGAGCATGCACTGTTACGCAAAAACCGCGATAGAGTGAAGCCGCGGAAGTCGAAGTGCGAAGTGGCGAGGGTTCACTGTATGTACTTCTCCAGGGGCTGGTTTCTGCTGCTGATCTGTCCAAAGTACATGAGACGCGGTCTCGCAGTCCTTGTCTCGAAGGAGAACTGTGGCGCTTCTTATCCCAAGACAGAGCTCTTCTTCAGGCAGCCCATGCAGTTTCAATATTCTTGCTGTGACCATAGTGCGAAGGCATCTGTTTTCCTTTGGTCTTCCTCATTCAGTATCCAACTTTCACATGCATATGAGGCAATTAAGAATACCATGCCTTGGGTCAAGGACACCTTAGTCCTTAAAGTAATATCCTTGCCTTTCAATACTTTAAAGAGGTCTTGTGCGGCAGATTTACCTAAGATATTATGTGGTTTAATCTCTTCATTGCAGTTTCCATGAACTTTGATTGTACATTCAAGCAAGATGAAATCCTTGACAACTTCAAGTTCTTTCTTCATTATCACGGTGTTACTTACCTATTGGTCTACTGTGCAGGTTTTGGTCTTCTTTCATTGAATTGTAATTCACACTGGAGACTGCAGTCCTTGATCTTCATCATAAGTGCTTCAAGTCCCACTCACTTCCAGCAGTTAAGGTCGTGTCACCTGCACATTGCAGATTGTTAATAAGCCTCCCTCCAACCCTGATACCGTATCCTTTTTCCTATAATCTAGCATCTCTGATGATTTGTCAGCACACAAATTGAATAAGTATGATGAGAGATATGACCCTCATACACACCTTTCCAGATGTTGAACCTTTCAATGGATCCAGATGTTAGAGTCTGTATTTTGTGTTATCCATTAGTCCTTTGGACTAATTATTTACTTTAGTCTTTGATTTTTTTCACTCTTCTTTGCTTCAGACAGGGAGGGGCCAATAGTTGCACCTGAGATAGATGCTTAAAAACTCTTAAGACCAGTTGCTACTAACCAACACATTACCTTTGTTGACTATGTTACCCAAGTTGACCTAGATGTTTCCCAAGTTTAGGGAATCATTTCCTCCAAGTGTTTGACTATAGCTATGAAGTTTACAGAACTTTGCCCCCAGTATGCTCTACAATATCCTTGGATATATTTGTAACACATATAAATACAAGCATACATGTAGGAATATCTTCTGTCAAAATCTATGTATAATCCTTGGTGTACTCTCATTTGGTTTATCCTAACTGTTTAGCTTTCATATATGTCTATTTATATACTCATGTATTTTTACATGTAAATATCTTCTTGTCTTTTTACGATAGCGATCTTATATAATTTTTGCCATTTTGTGGTTGCCTAATTTCACTCAGCATATATAATATCCTCTGTATTAATTCATGTTATGAAGTGTATCACAGATTCATCATTAATCTCTAACATTCCTTAATATTTTTGCTGATTTATTCACTGATATGCACTTAGATTGCTTCTGTCTTTTTGCTTTTGTGAATTATTCTGTATATGAGTGTGCATGTATCTATTCACATCATAGCTATTATATTTTTAGGATATATACCTAGTGGCGATATTGCTGAATTTACTCATTCTTTTTAAAACTCATTTTCCATTCCAAATACACTTGGTATTTTCATTACAGTCTTGTTAAAATGGCAAGATCTCTGAAATGACATACAAGGTATATTTTCCTTTTAACGAGGAGTGAAAGGGAGAGATATGAAAGTATTTCTCTTCATTATTCCTTCAGAGAGACATATTGAAGAAAAAGAAGGACTATCTTTTAATTTGACATTGTTTTATTGGTGAACATTTTGGATAAATGTATATGCTTTCAATTTATTTTAGCACTGTGTCCAAATATCCTGGATAGGATACTGTGAAAGATAATATCTTATTTATGTGTGATAAAAATAAGTGGGTGTATTCATAAGGTATATGTTGATTTTGAGCCTCATTTTAGTGAATGCATGCACTTATGAGATTGGGTTTCCAAGGTAGTTCAATATGACCCTGTTTTGTACCTTTCATCCCTACTTTCTCTAAGACCAAATCCAGACCACTTGCTATTGAACCAAACTTATGGTGACACTGAGTATCAGAGTAGAACTGTACTACATAAGGCTTTCAATGGCTAATATTTCAGTAAACCAGTAGCTTTAAAAATTTTTGCTTTTGGAGGTAGCTCTTTGTGCACTTGGACTTCTAACTTTTTGATTAATAGCTGGATGTGTTAAATATCCCACCACCCAGGGACGGTGTCCTCTAGCCATGACCTATTATAGTTTTTTATCTCTCTGTGATCATTTATGGGCACAAAAACTGAATGGATTTTGATACCCTTTCTTCAGTGCTGCCATGAGTGTCATAGAGCCTACCAAAGAATGTGTATGGCAGTGACTAGCACACTCTGAGTACTAGCACCTATAATCAAGACATGAAAATTCTCTCAGCTACATTTTAAAATAATTTTTCTCTTTTAGATCCTGAATTTGCCTGAGTTGATTGATGACATCAAATATAAAACTAACCACCTCCGGGTACAGAATAGAAAAGAGCTTATTGAAATATTATCTGCACGGTAAGCTTGGATCTAATGTGTATAAATTTATGAATTCATATGAGGGGGCTCCAAAAAGATTGTGAAAAAATGAAATGTAAAGAAAATGGAATTTTCCTGTGAACTTTGTGAAGCCCCTTATAGGTGATAAACATTTATCAGGTATTTTGGTATTCTTGGCTTATTTAAATAAATTTATCATTCTCTTCTATTTCATAAATTTGCTCAGTGGAAAGATACTTTGCAACTGTGTTTTTTCTTGTTTAAAAGCATTTGTAAGTTTTTTTCAGTACCTACTTATAAATCTCATGAAATGAGAATGTCACTTTCATCAGAATGGGTTACTTATTCATGGCATGTAACTGTGCCTAGTATATTTCAAATGATGATAATAAAATAATAATTTTTCTTGTACTTCTGATTTGTTAAGTGAGCACCATATATTATCTCCCTTACCCTTTACGACAACCCAGTAAGGTCTTTACTACTGCCCTACTTTTACAATTAAAGATGAGGCTTAGGAATGTTCCATCAAGAGTTTATTGTCTTTTCTGAGTTTCTCAGGCCATTGTTTCTAATAATGATAATTCAGAGTCCTTGAAAATGCCAGATTGAGGTATCAGTGTCAAAAGGATAAATATCACAGTATTTGATACCCACATTAGTCTATTCATGTTATGTTATGTTTTTATGTTTTTGTTAAAACCAGTACCTAGTTGTCAAGTTACGACAAAAGAAAGAGTAATCTGTCAACTTCCCTTTAAGTTTCACTTTTGTTTTCTTCCAAACATCTTCTCAGTGTCTAGAAATAAGCCTTTTGGTTTTAATTAATCAATTAGCCAAGTGAACTGTTTATTTATTTATTTTAGTCTTGAAATTTGCTCTCACCCGTCCAATAATTCGATGTTTTTGTGTCAATGGTATATGTTTCATGGTGTGCTGCGGTAAGTAGTGTTGGATTCCTAAGTGCGAGGTTGGTGGTGCAAAGCCACGGCAGTTCCATGGGAGAAAGGCGAGGCTTTCTTCTGCAGATTTCCAGCCCCAGAAACTCTTCATAGAGTTGCTAGGAGTAGAAATGGACTCTCTAGCAGTAAGTCTGGTTTTTGGTGTTATGTGCTCTTTGAAAATAAAATTCTGCTCAGGTCATTTTTATTCTGTCTTATATTTAGGGATTTCTACACGAAGTTCTGGTTCAACCTTCAATGACCTATTTGCTCTTTTCTGAACTTTTAAGCACTTCTTTCTGCTGCTTGTATCTTCTCAATTTGCCAAATGCTCTTTAGTCAATAGAGACTTTGTGTGTGCACTGATATGCAGAGAATGGAAAGGAATGAGGAGTAAGCCCCCGCCCCCACCCCCCTGTCATCAGTTAAATATAACTCTGATTCTACTGTAAAGTCCCAGAGCCCTCAATCATTAACCTTTCTCCTCATGAGAATCGGCTATTTATTTCTGCTTTATGCCCCTCTGTCTCTTAAGTGGTTTTTAATTAATTTAATTCATTGATATGATTTTTTCCTTTTACACCATGGTTACCAACTTTTTATAATAGCCTCTCACGAGAAACTTTATCAAAAGCTCTTTGAGAGTCTACATAAATAATATTCATACTGTGAGAAGAGTGATCCCAAGAAAAATACAAAACCTAAGCTGATACAAGTGTCATCTTGTTATTTAGCAGCCAACACTTTTATAACTTTAGGAGCCACAAAGTTAGATCATTAGTTTTCTAGGTCTTAAAACTTTTGTTCCTTGCTAACTTTTCGTTAAGAATTCTGCTGCGAAAAGACTTTTTAGCAACATCTGTAACAGATTAATTCCCATTTTCCTCTTTGGGCTAAATTAAATAATCTGTCACCTCATTCTTTCTACTCTTCTGTACACAGAAGTAGCAATTTCTACATTTTGGAACCCACAAGGTTGTTATATTTTTATTCAGACTTAACAAAGAATAAGAAATCAAACTGTGAAGTCAAGACCAGGCATAGTGCTGAGAGAGAATTTGAGAGGAAGGTCACTTCATTTTAGGTATGGCTGTTAAGCCCTGAACTGCAGACAGAGCCCTTGGCTGCTCGGAGACCAGATTCCATACTCCCTTGTGCTCCTGTTAACATTTTTTCGGTGCTGTCTTGTGGTTTGCCATCCTTCAATCTCTTAATAGCTCAAATGTCTTCTCCTCCAGGGTGGATCAAACAGTGATGAGCAGAGACGATTAGGATATTGATTCACTCTCATTTATCTTGTCATTTGTTTCTATGTACAAATGTCAATGGGTTCAGTAGTAGTATTCAGTGTTTGACTTTTAGAAGCTTCTATGAGCATTTAATATTTCATTATATGTATCTAGTTTTCCAGCCCTTAAAACCTTTTTGTTTCCTATTAACTATAGGACTAAATCTAGTCTCTTGAACCTGACATCCGTGGCCTTCCACAATTTGCTTAATCTTTTCTTTCCACCTTTCCTCCTAATATAATTCAATATAAAGGCCTTGCCCCAGCCACACTACACTGCCGTTTGGCTTCTTTCACTCCTTCTTTGGAATGATTCCCAGTCTAATCATTATTCTAAAAGACGACCGTGCGTCGAGACCACTGTGTCTATGTGAAACCATCCTGCAATATCTCTATCTAGTTTTCCGCTCAGATGACAGCACCTTTAGGAAAGAAGGCATCCTTTTTGGGCCTCAGTAGCCAATCTGTCAATTGTGAAACACACACATAGCGCTCATCGTTGGGAATGATATTGCCAATTGTTGTTTGCTCAATGCTCAGCTCCCGGTCTTACTCAAAACAGTGTTACTTTAGTTTCACAGTCAACTCAGAATTTGTGACTCCACTTAGATTTTTTCTAACAATATTGGCATGTTTAACCCCAACCAAAAAAGGAGAATGGTAGAAAGAGAAGAACTAGCATTTATTAGATACCAAATATATGCCAATTGAATACTATTATTATTCTCCTTTTACAAATGAAAATCTGATTTTTATGGAGGTTAACTTAAGGTCAGACACAGTGAAAAATTAGAAATGAGACTCAAAACGACATACATGTTGCAGCATATCATATTGCCTCCCTGAAGTGTGACATGAAATTCTATAGCTTCCTTGCATGTTTATTAATTCAATAAATAAGTATTGAACACTTACTATGTTGTAGACACTATCACACGTGCTGGGAATAGAGACGTGAGTAAAACAAAGTAAATTGGTGCAGAAATGATCTAGAGCAGGAAGCAGCACAGTGTCAGGAGTTAGGTGTGAGCGTGGCTTCTTATTTAGGTTGGTCTGGGTGGGCCCTTCTAATAAAGCAGCACTTGAACAGAGGTGTGCAGGGGCATGAGAGAAAGAGGCAGGCGAAACTCTGAGGAGAAGCACTGGAGGCAGACAATGTGTGGTTGGCGAGTTTCAGGAGTAGAAAGAGGACAGAGCGGCAGAGCCCGTTAGAGGCACAGTCACGCCATGTTCCAAACGTTTTGATAACCTCTAGGATATAGTTTCTCCAACTTGTTCAAGAAAGGCACAGCTTGATATTTTAGTCATGAAATTAGTTTGCTAATCAGAAACTTCTATTTTCTATCTGCCCTTAAGAGATATCTTGACGGGAATACTTTTCTTGTTAGAGAATGCACAGTTATTTTTGTAACTTGCAGTCAGAAAAACTCTCTCACCTGAAGAAACTAGGACTCAAGATCTTAAATGATGTCTGCTACTCATCCATCCACCCATTTCTTCTCATCCACCCATCCATCCAATCATTCATCCATTCACACATTCACTGATTCTTTCCTCATTTTGTTATTCAAGAAATACTAATCTAGCAATTACCATGTGCCAGTCACTGTTCTGAACCTTAGGCATTCAATATTAAAAAATAAAAATGACAAAAATTCATTTTCTCCTAGAATTTTCATTAGGCCAATCCTAGCAGACTTTATAGAAAACATGTTTTAAAGATGTCTTTCATTGAACACATTTGTGTTATGAGTTTAAGAAGTTAGTCTTCATATTGTCCATATAAATGTTTTTTGCTTTGCAAAAGGACTGCAGCTACAGGCCGTGCCTGTTAATAATTTATTTGTCTCATTTGAGCTTGTTGATATGCACGCTACAATTTTTATTGCAATTTGTCAGTCATTTCTATATTAAAATTATTTTTAGTAACAGGAGCTACATTACCATGTTTAAGACTGTTGTTTGCTAGTATTCATTATATTATATTCATACATACTGTAATTGATGCTCATATACATTTTCTTAACCTATATTTTCATTTAAGAAAATATGCAAAAATATAGAGCGATTTGTGAGAGTAAAGTTTCGTGGTAGGCAATTAAGGAACCTGGATTTCTAATTTAGAAATGGTGAACTCACTGAATTAATATGAAAACTTCATACCTCTTACACCCAATTTAATATCCAAGAGCACTTGGGCACTTATACAAAGTCTAGTCTCCTAAATTTATGCATGGACTTCCTCCCAAAGTATTTTTTCCTAAGGAATCTTTGAGGACTCCCTCATTCCTGATGTGCATTCATTACCATTTTTTTTTTAGAGCCAGGTGATTCCTTTTACATTCTTCTGAGAAATCTATAGATTGCTTTGCAGGTGCCACTTGGAAGTAATGCCACATTACTTATCGGCGATTCTTACTCGTGACTCTTACTTGTGATTCTTAGTTTGATGCTTTTTGGGGGAAGCAGTCAGCGCCATTCAGGAAGTTGAATGGTTTTGTCATTAGCTGCACTTTCCGCAGCCAGCACACATACTCGTCCTCTGAAGTGCTCTCAGGTGTAACCATGCCCCAACTGTGGCCAAGAGCAAGCCGTCCTTTCTTTCTGTTTTAAATTTAAAGGTGGAAGACTTTCCCCTTGAGCTTGCCATTTTATCCAGGGTGTTGCAGAAACTCTGTTTATCCAGCTGCTAAGACTGAAAAGTAGGCAAAACTGAAGCATGTCGAGAGTCCCCAGCTAACGCACAAACTGGGAGATATAAAAAGGCTAATCCGTGGCCTGTTACAACC